CTCTGTGGCTGTGTCTCCTCAGGACTCCATGTGTAGCTCTGTGGCTGTGTCTCCTCAGGATCCACATGTGGCTCTGTGGCTGTGTCTCCTCAGGATCCACGTGTGGCTCTGTGGCTGTGCTTTCTGTTCCCAAGCTAGCTGTGAATGTACCTCGTCTGATACTTTCTGCCTTCAATTAGCCTCATGAGTTTATTCACGAGATTTGAGTTTTCTCTTTATTTCTTGCACCCTAGCATTGCTTTTTGTCTTAGGGTTTTTATTGCTGTGAAGAGGCACCATGACCACGGAAACTCTTAAAAATAAAACATTTAATTGGGGTGGCAGCTTACAGTTTCAGAGGTTCAGTCCATTATCATCATGACAGGAAGCCTTCAACAAGACCACACCTACTCCAACCAGGCCACACCTCCTAATAGTGCCATTCCCTTTGAGAGGTATTTTCTTTCAACCCCCCACATTCTTTCATATGAGCTCAGCTGCGGACGAAAATGTGTAATGTTAAAATTACACATAAATGGAGCTATAATGAAGTCGTTGTTCAACCATTATTTACTTAGAAAACTCAAGCCGTTTCAGGGTCAGCCCAAACATTTGGCCTATTATTTTTGTTCATTGCAGTATTAGGAGACTGCATATTAACTAATTTAGTTTTCTGTTGCTAGAGCTATCTTGTTTTACTTGGATGGTGAAATCCTTCCATTGATTTTTCTGGGATGAGTGATCTCTATAACTGACATGTAGTGTTACTGGTAACAGCCCAAGGATGGTCCTTTCCCATTATAAGATGTATTCCACCACACGGCATGTGTTTCTCCAGTCGCCTGGTGATGGGCATATCCTGTTCTGGGCTATTCTGAGTGAGCAAATCTGGTTTCAATGGTAAAGGCGAGGGAAGGGGATGTTGGGTGAGTGAGCACACTTGCCCGCCACTCTCAAAAGTTCCCATTAGAACTTTGGGCGGAAGCCCATCCACTGCACCGATCCTCACTTACCCGCTCCCTTCTGTGTGGTTTATGTGATGGTCTCTGGTGTCATTTTGACAAGATCTAGAATCACCCAGGCACGTCTGTGAATGATCACCGAGGGTAGGTTAACTGAAGACCCACCTTAAATAGAGGTGGCACCATATTGACACACACATACGGGTGTGATGTGACCAGGGGCTCAAGGTCCTGCTGCGATGGACCTGGACCTCGATCTCGAACTGTGAACCCAAACGAACTTTTTCTTCCCTTGAGTTACTTTTGTTAGTGTATTTGAACATAAAGGTAAGAAAAGAGGCAGGGCGGTGGTGATCCCAGCCCTTGGGAGGCAGAGCCAGGCAGATCTCTGTGAGTTCAAGGCCAGCCTGGGCTACCAAGTGAGTTCCAGGAAAGGTGCAAAGAGAAACCCCTGTCTTGAAAAAAAAAAAAAAAAGGTAAGAAAAGAAACTAAGTTGCAAGCCAAACCGCCCCCCTCCTCGCTCCTCCCGACCTTCTCTCCTGGACCACAAACATGACCAGGTGGCCCCCGCCCCTGCCACCATGCCTCTCCTGCCATGATGGACTCTAGCCACCCTCCTCCCCCCAGCAATATCTCAGAATAAACTTTCCCTTCCTTAAATTGCTTCTTGTCTGGTATTTTTATCACAGCAAGGAGGAGAGCACCCATACTCCCCAACACTGCCTCCCAGGCCGCCAGGACTATTTTCTGCCTGACCCGCTCTCCATCACTCCTTCATCCAATCTCATTGATGCTTCCACTCATGGACCCAACAGAACTCCTGGTGTCTGACTTCTGTTGAGACTCATTTGCTCTGTCTCCTTGGGACTCTTACTGTTCCGGGATGTCACCAGTCTTGAAGGCCCTTGCTCTCTACTGGCTCTAGCTTTGTAAATCCTATTTATTCCTTCATTTCCAACCCACAGTGCCCCCCTTGGTCACTGTGACTCGCCTGCATCAAGTGTCCTCCCAAATGGAAAGCACCAGGTACGGGCTGGCGTTCTTACTGCTCCTGGTCCTCGCTGGCGCTTGCTGGTCCTCGATGGAGTTTGCACATCCTTCCTGATGCTCTTCATGACCCCGGGCCTCCTGTTGCTACCTTCTAGTTCATCTTCAGTAGCCAAGCCCTAAGGCCACGAACCCCCACACGGGTGTGGCCGCTGCTCTGACCTCAGCGGGTTTCTCTTCTTGATGCACAAGCCACCTGACCAATGTCTTTTCACTCCTCCTTCCTAGGCAGCGCTCTGTCCCCCCAATTTCAGAGTTGAAATGCGGAGGCTGAGCATGCCGGCTGTGGCTGTGGCTGTGGCTGTGGCTGTGGCTGTGCGAAGGGGCTTGGGTTTCCTTTCTTGTGGCCGGATCAAAACCCTTGACAAGAGCTGCTGTAGGAGGGAGGGTTCGTTTTGGCTCGCCGCCGTTTGAAGGTGTTCTTATTCCTGGTACTCTTTGGAGCTTGCACCGTCCTTCCTGATCACCCCGGTGGGGGAGGCATGGAGGCCGGAGTGCAAGGCGGCTGGTCGCATTGCATCTGCAGTCAAGAGGCAGAGAGAGGTGAATTCTAATGCTCACCTCCCTTTCTTCTTCTTTTGTTCGGTTCAGAACCTCTGCCCACAGAATGGTGCTGCAGCATTTAGGGTGTGTTTTCCCAATTCAAGGAACCATTCTAGAACATTTCTCAGAGACATGCCCAGAGGCTTAGCTCTTTCGTGACTGGATCTTGTGAAGCTGATGGTCAATACTTGGCATGAGAAGGCTGATGGTGAATACCAGAAACAGGAAGGGGTCAGCAAGGACCAGCATTAGTGGAGGATTTACTCCACTGGCCACACTAAAGTGTCATCTCATTAAGCCTTTGCTCTCTCATTCATATCTGTCAGGGAACGAGGCTTAGGGAAGAGGAATAAATAGCCCTTGGTTACAATGTTAGTGAATATTTTAGTCATTCTTTAAGGCTAGGTTTTCTGACACCTAAGGACACTCTTTTTTATGATAGTGCGTCTCTTTTTCTTTAAAAACCAGACTTCGGCAGGCAGCCTTTAAATTCAGTTAGTCTAGCCCACATTACCTTTTGTGCCCTCTTCTGGCCAAGGCCCCGACGGGAAGGCTGCAGCATGGGCCACTGGGCTCAGCACACACGAAAACTGTCTCAAATTAGCCTGGGTCAGCAGTTGCTGGCTTGGGCGTGAGCAGTCATATAATGTCACGCAATGTCAACCCTGAAATACATCTTGGGTGGGTTCCAGGGAGATCCAGGGCCAACAGGACGCCGGGAAAGCTATGGAAAGTCTGTGAACTACTGCTGTCCCTTCCTGGTAAGGTGGGGGTGAGCGCTGGTCTGGAACAGCCTGCTTAGCTGTAACTGTAGGGGAAGATGGGAGGAAGAAGTTAATTCCTGGCTGGGCCTGTTTACAGGAAGCCATGCGCTTTGGTTATTAAAGTGGGCCCCACATGGGAGGGCATAAACTGGCTTTTCCAGAGCGAAGGTAAGCAGTAGAAATAGTTTTCTCTTGGCCAAGCACAGGAGAGGACTTAGAGGCTTGCTTCAAGTTTAGGATGTGGTGGCCTCAGGCCCACGGGTCTTGTGTGCCACATTCTCCTCCTCCTGCCTGTTAGCTTCCTGTCTTTGCTTAAGAAAGGCACAGAACTGGAGTTGGAGCGTGGTAGAGCACATTCTTAGCTTGCAGAAAAAAGTCCCGAGTTTTGTTCCCAACACAGTATACCTCCGATATGGTGTGCATGCTTGTAATCCCAGCACTCCAGAGGTAGAGGCAGGGAAATCAGAAGTTCAAGGTCACCCTGGATTCACATGAAGAGTTCCAGGTGGGCCCGAACTACCTGAATGTTTGACCTGCAGGGAGAATTTGTCCTTTAACTCTCGATTCTCTTAATTGACCAGTTTGAACCAATCCTTCTGGTTTTGTTGTTTGTTTGTTTGTTTTCTCAAGACATTTTCCATTTTGTCTTGCACTCCCAAAACGTCTGAACTGTGGAATCAGCTCACTCAGATGGTCCTTTTTTTTTTTTTTTTTTTTTTTTTTTTTTTTTATTATTTGGTGGGCATTGTCGAAAGCAAAGATTTTCAAAAGAGACAACCCACCAAATGCTGTCGTTTTGGTGGGACGTGTCTCTCCCAGGCATCGACAGAGTTCTAGGCTACCTCTGGGGTCAGGGCATCCGGCTCTATATGTGGGTGACATGCCGATCTCCAGTTTTTTACATGTCTTTCTGATTTTCAAAGCTTTTTGCTGCTGACTGGGTGTTGGTAGATGAAGGTTTTCTTTACTGCAGCTGGGCCTGAGTGCTGGTCTCTTTCCAAGCTCCCTCAAACTCCCAAAGGGATGGAATTAGGAGGTAGGACCTTTACGGGAGGGTATTAGATCCTGGTATGGAGCCCTTGAGGATGGGATGAACCCATTATGAAGAGGCTCCAGAGAGTTTCCCGTCATGGGAAGACCCAGCAGAAGGCACCTCCTAAACGACAGATAGCAGCTCTCACCAGACAGACTTTGCTTCTTGCACTTCCAGCCTTCAGGACGGCACAAGCTGTGTGTATGTAGGTTATATGGTGTACTGTTTTTGTGACATGAGAGAGTGCTTGACTCCTCCCCTGTGTCAGCCCACAAACATCACCTCCTCCAGGATTCCCTTCTTCTGCCTCCTCTGCTCCTTCTTGGGGACTCATTCTTCCTCTGCTCCTCTTCCTCGGGGCAGCTGCAGGAATGTAGCTAGCTGCGTGATCCTGCATGCATGGAGCAGTTGGACATCACTTTCGGAGTCTGTGAAGTGGCTTTGATACCAGTTGTACTTACAACATGGAAATTTATTGAGCTGGAAGGAGACCATCTCCGCGGAGCTCTGTCTTGCTCAGACGTGACAGCTCCTTTCCAAATAATCCTTGGTGTAGTGGTCCCTGTCTCCTGGCAGAATCTGGAAACCACAGAAAGCCAGCCCCACATAGCTCTGTCTCTTTGACTCCCATCCCAGAGGTGAGACACAGCTGTGCTTGACACACGCATCAGGACCAAGGCGTAGCAACCCGCCTGCCCAATTTAGTTTTTCTCCTTTCAGGAAGGGAAAGAAAGGTGAGGTAGACTAATTATGTGAAGAACTTCATGGATGGAGAGTTTGACCAGCTCCTGGGGTTAAAGATGTGTAGGACTCTGCCGCAGGCCACCCAGGTGGTATGTAGATGGCAAAGATGGCCCTCTTTATACCAAGGCTGCCTTTCCCACTGCAAGCTGCGTAAGAGATTTTTTTTTTCCTCTTTGGGATGAAAGGAAGAGAGAAAGAAGGCACTTGTTCAGATCCTTTGCACACAGTTCCCTTTCCACACAAGTGAGCCCTCCCAGAACAAAGTCCCCCACCCACAGGAGAAGCACCAGCATTGACCTTGCCCTGCTCCTGGGCTCTCCTGATCCTTCCGTGGCTGGCGCCTGTTTATCCACACAGCAATCTCTCCAGGCGGGAATGATTTTAATCTGCTGTTTTATAGACACAGATACTGAGGTGAAGTGATTCTCTGGGGTCAGCGCCCAGGAAGTAGGTCTCAAAAGCCCGTGTGTCACCCTTGGGCTATGCTGGGTCAGATCCTCGGGTCCAAGTCGTAGTAATCTGTTAGTGCATCTCCTGGGCAGCTCCTGGAGCAGGTGTTAGGGATAATGGGGACACCGTGCAGAGGAGGGAATCAAGGATTTCCTGTGATTTGTCTCTTATTTCTCGGCATGTTGACTAGGTATCAGATCTCTTAGTAACTATATTTATTACACTTATTTAATTTTCCTGGTTATATTTGTTACATTTATTTAATTTTCCTGAGTACTAGGTTTCTTTCCATTTTGCAGATTAGAAAGCTTAGGTGTACAGAGCACAGAGCTCTTAAATGGTAGAGTCTGGATTTGAACCCAGAATCATTCTCATGCTGTGAGTGGGATGGAATACACCAGAGGTGGATCATTGTTTGGGTGCTCATTGCTCTTAGAGAGAAAATGCCAGGGGAGGGGGGTTGAGCAGAGTGGGACCCGGAGAGGGGGTACCCGGCCAGCCATTGCTGACTGAGTGCGTGTGGTAATCCGTGGCCCTTGTCTGATATCATCTCTGGGAATGGGCCCGGAGCACCCGTGAGAAACGACACAGTTGTTGAGCAATGCAGCCTCGTGTCTTAGGAAATGGAAAATTCTGAAGAGGAATGTTCTGGGGGTTTGGAGAGGCGGAATTACAGAGATGAGGAGAGTTCCATTTGTTCACTGGCTCCAAGACCGCTCCACCTCTTCCTCCAGCCCTGGCTGGGGTCTGTTCCTGTCCCCTCAAGTCTCTGTCAGGTTCCCCACTGTCTGTGACAGTCCTTCCCCTCCCCCGTGCAGATTGCACTAAGCATGATTTTTTTTTTTTACTAGCATAACTATTTTTATTTTTTTGAGATGGGGAAGTCAGACTTTGTAGCTCAGGCTGACCCTGAAGTTGTGGCAGACTTCCATTCTTGGGCTCCCTAATGCCGGGACCACAGGTGTGCATCCATGCCCAGCTCTTGGCAATTCATACTGGTAGGCCAGCAGGACCTGAGTGATGCTAGGTTCAGGGGCAGACTATCTTAGGCAGAAGCTTCTAGCTAATTCAGAAAGTGACTTAATCCTGCATATTACCGGGCTCCAAGACTCAGAGAGGTAAAACAGATCTCCCGGGCCACACAGAGCATTCTGTGTAGAGCATTCTTGTCGAAGGGTGTGAGTCATGGTAGGTGTTCCATCAGCCAGGACAGTGATCCTCCCCATCCCCACACCCTTGCTCTTTTCTCTCTCACAACTGGTAGGAGGTTGGATGTCAACAACCCTTCTTAAAGCAGCTCAGTAACCCTTATGGAGAAGTGGCACCCCCCCACCCCTCACCCCCTGCCAGAGTCTCAAGAGATAGGGGCTAACAAAATGGATGAAAAAGGTTTTGGGCCCCAAGCAAGGTCTGCTGTCCCCAGGGTGGCTTTGTCGATGGTGTACCTGTGGCCATGTGGGTAGGATTTCTGGAAAAATGTGTCCAGGAGAGAGAACCCAGCTCTGGGGAGCAGGGTGCTAGACAGACAGGGACCCCGTTTTTCTCTACTCAGGTAGGAAGGAGATGGGCAATCATTTGGGGGTTCATTGCGACAGGTGCCCAGACCGAGGTTGAGACAGCCGGCCTCAGGTGGCCTGGATGTGAATGTGGCAATTATGGAGGTTACGACATCGGGAGATAAAGATATGATAGGAGCCTGGGAGTCCCGGCTAGAAGGTGCTGCTGGACCTAGGCCTTGGCGTGCTTAGTGCTGCCCTGCTCTGTGGTCTGGTAAAACTGCGGGGCCTGGGGCCAGTTTAGAATATGGTTCCCTCCTTAGCTTGGCTCCAGGAGCATGGTGGAATAGCTGTCTGGTACAATCGTGTTACAGGGTGCACCTCCCAGACCAGGAGGAACAAGCCATCCCCTGGAAGAGGACAAAAGAAAAGAGGGCTGGCAAGCCTGAGTTCTGGCTACATATTTGATCCCAGAGAAGGCCAGTGTGCTCTCACCAGGGATCTTGCCTTGTCATGTCTGTGTCTAGTTCTGCGGGGGAAAGAGACTTAGACTCTGTTTTCTGTTCCCTAAGGCAGGAATTGGTCACACTTTTAAATTTCTATCAGGATTAGTGAATTCCGGCTGTCTGTCTGTCTGTCTGTCTGTCTGTCTATCTATCTATCTAAATATCTATCTATCTATCTATCTATCTATCTATCTATCTATCTATCTATCTATCTATCTAATTATCTATTATCTTATTTGGTCTTAAAAAGAAAATCAAAGGCGATTGCAATTCACAAAGCTGCCAGGTCACTTTGCAGCGGATCAGAAACAATGAATTACTTCCCTAGGTCTCTGTCCTAATCACAGGTTCTCTAAGTCCAAAGTTTCAAAGCAGACTTGGAATTTTCATGAACCTTGCTCAAAAGCAAGTCTTGGTAGCTCGGTTAGTCAAGCTCTGTGAGCCCCTAAAGGAGAAGTCCAAGCCCCTTCTTCTAAACAGCAAGGAGGCTATTTCTTGACCCCGCCCCCGCCATGTATGTGGGTGTGTACATGAGCACACATGTATGCACAAACACATCTTGCATGTGGAGAACTGAGAATGCCATTTGGAATCATCTTCCATCAATGTTCTACCTTGTTCATTGAGGCAGCATTTCTCAGTTAAACTCAAGAGTCCAACAATATGGGCTACTCATGCCAGCCAGCATGCTCTGGGAATCCCACGTCTCTGACGTGGCTGGAATTCCAGGGATGTGTTGCAGGGCATTTTGTTTACATTGTGAAGATG